ACCTCTTGCCATCCACAAGTTTTAATTTTAGTCGCAACTTGTCTAGTTGTTTGTACAATTTCTGCCTCAATTCTTCGTCCTTTTTTGTGCACTCACTTTGCTTTCACTTCAGATTACTTCTTGCAGTACTCGGCTGTTTTTCATTTAAATTAATGCCAACACATTACTTCTAGTTCAGACGGGAAGTTTGGCTAATCTCACTTATATTTTATCAAAAGACTAAATTAAATTAATAAGAATTATCACATCTTATTTCAGTGCTTATCACTAAAATAAAAACAATTAGCCATTACTGATAATTGATTACACTTATATTTTATCAAAGACTAAATTAAATTAATAAGAATTATCACATCTTATTTCAGTGCTTATCACTAAAATAAAAACAATTAGCCATTACTGATCATTAATTATTCTTTGTTAATCGGTGAAGATGTTTCGATGTGGCAAAATATACGAGTGACTGGAGTGACTTACTTTCAGATAGATGCTGTGGATGTGGCGCAAATGATCAATGCGTAGTCAGCATTTCAAAAAACCACTCAAATTTAGCAGAAAAGCACTGAGTACATGATGCGAATCGAAATGTACTTATAATTGAAGAATAAACAAGCAAGGGAATATATGATAATTTTCAGAATATTCAACTGAGAACTTTGAATTTGCACAGATTACGAAGGCGTACACGAAATGGATTAATTTTTTGTAGGAGGAAAGTGATTTTCAAACTTGATGAATGCTCTAAGGTAGAATGCACAAAGCCTTGAATTCGTTCATTCTGACGTGCAGCAGCGACGTGTGACTTCGTTTTTTGTCAAGCTTTTTATGCATAAATCGATATTTGTCTCTCTGTGAAAGTGGAGACTTGATATGAAAGGTTATTTTCATTGAAATCCTACGTCTAAAACGACAGTCAAACTTTGTCTGATTTCATGTATGAATAAATGAAAGCATATCTGATATACATTTATTGTGTCACAAATATATATACAAATATATCTGAAATATATTTATTCAGGCACGAAAAAAATTCATCAGAGATATCAGTTTTTAATTATTTATGATTCCAAATTTGTTACTAATGGCAAAAATATTATAACAATGAAAAATAAACCCATAAATAAACAAATGCAAAGAAGTGATAATACTATTAAGCGGAAAACAGACAACTGTTGACATGTACATTACTAATTGGACTTCGATTCCTATACTGCTTTTCAAAAATGATTGATTTTAATGTTAACTAATGTTTATAAATGTGCTAACAAAAGTAATATCTCGTTACTTGAGGCTGTGAAATATTAACACGTCAATTTTTTCTTATTTTACGTTTCTCAAAAATTATAAAACTTTAAATATATGTGAAGTTAAATAGTGATATAGCAATTCCCCAAATATTATCAGTTGAAAGGTTACAAGTTGTCAATCACTAAAATTCTTGTGCATGAATAATGCTTTTTATTAGACTTGCTGATGTTTTGCATCATTCACGATTGAAAAGCTAATCTCACAGTGGACAAATACAAGGATGTCCCAGTACATTCATATCATGGAGGCATTATTGTTGGAGTAAAAGTAATACATTCAGTAACTTGAGAAAGTCAAAGTGATGGCACGATACTCAAAAATTAGCGTAGAATAACTTAAATCTCCTTTGGTACAATATGTACAGCGACTGCAACATGTTCGTGGGCATTGTTATGCCATGAATTCCAGATGCAAAGAATCTTTGCAAAGGCACGCTTGTAATGAGCACTGAAGGAGATCTCTGAGAGGGTTTAGATCGAGATCAAGCAACACAACTGACACACATAGATCAAGCAATAAAGATCATGGGATTAAATTAACTGCAGTGATTCAGTTAATAAACTAACTATATTGTATGAAATGAAATTATCAGAAACACTTGGCATATCAAAAAACAGTGCTTTTATACATTCAGAAAAGAACTAATTACAGAAATCCACAAAGGAGCTGAAGACAGAACCTAATATGAATCTCTTTACTGCAGAGATATGGTAGTGTCTTCATTTGATAGCAGTACAACTGACGGTTGTACTGCTAACAAACTTCAAACGACATGACAAGCGGCCACTTAATTAAAATTAAAGTGGAAAGGGATCATAACATTGAAACTGATCCTAAAATCAAGATGTTTTTCCAAAAGAATCTAAATTTCTACAATTTCTTTTTTTCCGTGACAACTTTTTTTTGAAAGGGTTTTCAGGGAAAAGTTACTGATTCTACTTTGTATGTCAGGATGAAATCTTTACGATCTTATTATATTTTGTCATTATTTTTTTCAAAAATGGAAATTTTTCAAGGAAATATCTTTATTTTTCACTATCGGAAAAGTCTTTAAAATTTTTTAAGCATTAATTTTGTTTTTAGGAAGAAATTCGGTAATCACAAAGGCACAAAATATTTTTGTATTTACTGCTAATTAATTATTAAAATTATGCGATTAAGGCAAATTCGATCATTGAATCTTCACCAGTAGCGCTTTAGATTTCTATTTTATCTTGATTTTCAAGCCTAAATCGTTTTCAAGCTATTTTTGCATATTTTAAATTGTGAAAAGAAATTCAGGGTGTCATGACTGGGATGTGCATTAAGTGCCAGCATTAATGTGAAATATGATTGTAGCATATTAATGTATTGAATAAAAAATTTTGATTTTTGCTGAAGTTATCGTGCTTATTTTCAAATAGTTTGAACTGCTTTTCAACTGAAAAAAAATTATTTTTTCTTAGTTTCTGCTCTCTGAAAAAATCTAAGAAACCGAATGAACGAAAATAGCTTTTAATTGAAACTTTTTTATTTCGGTGTTTAGAAGCTGAGATTTCAATTATTTCTAAAGAATGCAAAAGTTTTCCGAAAATTTCCCCTTGTTCTTAGTATATTTTGTAAATAAATTATATCATTATGCTTTATTCGTTTAATGTCTAAGTAAAATTTAAAAAATTTATCAGCAGAAACTGTATTATGTTAAAAAAAGGTGCTTAGTGCTTAGCTTTTCAGATTTAAATAGTCGCTGGTTATCCTGAAATGGATTCTAAAAGTTAATTTAGGCTGGTAGGAGGTAGTCACATTAATGTTTGACAAATGGATTTTCACTTTGGAATGGATAGACCGACATTTTTGCCTCACCAATTCTCACATTTTTTAAGCTCAACAAAAGCTTTTAATCCTTTTTTCTCTTATTTTGAGTTGTATTTTTCACAACAACTTTCAACTATGACTGCTGAACTCTTAACTGCTATTACTATGATAATTATGGCAGTAATTGTCTTGAAAATTTCTCATTATAATTCATTAAATCACCAGTACTCTCTGCTAAATACTTTACTACTTTTCCGTTCTGTCTACTCACAATCGTCTCATTCTCATTAATTTAAATTTTGTCATTAAGATTATATCTCAAGTAAAAATTCTCACTAAGAGTTATATTGAGATAGTGAATGAAACTTCATTCAGCATGTGAAAAGGCAAACCCAAAATCACCGAAATACTTTTACGCTCACGTGTGTTTTAGTTAAATATTAGCACTTTATCAAAAATAACTGTATTATTTTTGTTGAAGAAACTTGGATTGATTTAATCAGAAGTGAAATAGTGAATAATTCAGAGAATCGCATACTTCAAATGATTATAAAGTTGCGCAAAAATATGATGCGAATTATTTTTTTTTAAAAAGCATAAGCATAAGCATAAATTTTTAAATTTAATTGGTGAAATGTTGCGTTGTTACTTGAAATTTAAAACGGTTTTGAAGGATAAATTTTTGAAACAATAGATAAATGTTTTGCAGTGTTTCACTACAATACTATTTTAATACATATCATTTATAGCCACTCTCACTGATAGCTCTTTCTAAAAATTATTGGCATATTTTTTGTATGTCTTCTTGAATATGCACATTAAAAGCGGAGACAGCAATTTTTTAACTCAAATATTTTGAGAGCACATTTAACACTTACTTTTCTAACTGACTTATTTATTGTTGATATCATCATTAAATCATTATCAGTATCACTATTATTGTTAATACTAATAATATCATAATTTTTCAATCTTGCTTCTAATTTTATTACTGTGGCCTGCGAAATCATTAACCGCTATTTGTTTTCAAAATTTTGTCTTTTGTGCTGCTATTTAGCAAGAAAAAATCTGCATTTTTCAAACATTACGCTTAAATTTTGTTTTTTGTTTGGAATATTTTCCAAGTTGAATTTTCCTTACCTTTTCTACAGTTCATATCTAACTGTTCAATGTAATTTTTATACTTGCATCATTTCTATTTAATTTATTTCAATTGTCCTCATTAGCTATTATCCAACATACAAATATGAATTTTGACAGTTTGCGTGCACTACTATGGATTTATACATATCCTGCCGAAATTTATTGCTGAGGAATACATAAAGTGATAAATTAATCTGAATTAAATTGGAAAGGCAATCGAAAGGGCGAATTAAA